GGGGCTGGGTTGTGGTATGGATGGTGCTCCCGCACCACTGATGTTCGTTCCGGGCAGCAACGACCTCTCACCTGCCATCTGCGCGCACGCGGGATGTCTCGGACACGGGTACTGTGTGTGGAATGTCGCCTACTGCAGGTGCATTGTGCCCACTTCCCTTTCTTGATAATCAAGTATGCCCGCGGACGATCCACTGCGTGGATTCCCCAGGATTACGCGCCCCCGGAATATGCCAAATGCATCCCGCCGCGGTTACAAAGGCGGCCGATCCAGACGCGGACCACTAGACGATGCTCGCGGGCCGGATACGGAGGACGAGGTGCAGAACGGCGCGAGATCTTATTACGCGCTCGACGTCTCCCTCATTCTCCGGGTATGTTCTTCCCAGTTTAGGCCCTCTTACCCAGCGCTGAACCTCCATATGCGTCGTTCTGATCAAGCTCTGGTCTTGTCCTTCTGCTTGGTCGCATATTACTCACCTGGTTGGACAAGTGGCGCACGCTGGGACGCCGGGCCCGTCATTTGAGCTTCAAACACATCGAGCAAGTCTGTGAATTCTGCATTCTGCATTGCGACGCGATCCTCATCCCTCTCAAAGCCACGTCCTCGGGATGAAGCCTCAACGATCAATTCCAGCCTCCAAATTCTTTCCTTTCAATTGTCCCAATTATCCACTCCACATGACCCACGCGCCTGAGGCCATCACCACGTCGCGCCGCCGTTCGCTCAGCCTACTCCTCGCGCCTATTTCTTCCGCCCATACGTTCCCCGACCGACGATGCCACTGACAGCCTCCACATTGCCATTGAGCCCGCTCCATCCTGCGCAGTGGTTTTATGCTTAGATCGTGGTATCTTATCCTGTGTGATTCGCTTTCCCCCTATCGCTACTTCAGTGCTTCGTCTCTTGGTGTACTTGCTCCCTGCCCTCCTCGCTCGGCCCGAGACCTCTTGATGCAACTTACACATACCGTTCCACCTTCTCCCTTGATGCTCACCGCCGTCATTTAGTTTCAGGTCGCGCTTAGTCGGTCGGTTGGCACGTCTTCTGCGCGTCAGTATCGCATTTGTATCCTGAACACGATGCTCATCATGGTATTCGTAAGCATGTAATTCGATTCCAAGGATAATACACCGAATACCGTATTTTACCTCTCGTCCACGCATCGTCTGGATCCTGGCGCGTATTAAATTCTCTATCCGAGACCAGTCAGACTTCGCAGACTCATATTCAGCAGGTAATTTACTTCCGAGAATAACCCGTCTTTTTCTCTATTTCCCGTTGCTCTCAAAAACAGCAACCCACCCCTCCATCGTCCTCACCCCCTTCCTCCCGCCCCCGCTCTCAAAACTCGCCCTCACAGTATCCTGCATCGCCCACACCACCCCCTTCTCCCTCTCATCCTTTACATACTTCTCCACCTCCTCAGTGAACTGGTCCCTGAGCGCGTGCTCCGTCTCCCAGCGCCCGTCGTACACGCCCGGGCCGGGCACCACGCGCGCTTCCTCTCTCAGCACGAGCCCCGCCTCCGCCGCGAGCGCCTTGATGCGCAGAGGTGACACGACAGTGCGCACGTTGGATTCGGAGGCAGGCTTGCGGCACTCGAGCGCGCCCTGCGCCAACACCGCCAGCACGTGCGTCCCCGCCCCGCCCCCGCCCGCGCTCGCGTCGAGACTCCACTCCGCGATGCACACGCACTGTGTGTGTTTCGCGAGCGCTTGCAGCGTCTCGCGGATGAGCGCGGGGGAGGCGAAGTACCAGAGGCTGTGCGCGAGCACTACGGCGTCCCAGCGCGCCTCTGGGTTTGTACTGAGGAACGCGAGCGGCTCGGCCTGCACCCACGCGATGCGCGCGCCGAGCGCGCCGGCGCTGATCGTCGCCTGCGCTTCCCCGAGTGTTTTTGGCGAGCCTATGCCTCTCGTCAGCTTATTGGCAAGGTACAAGGAAGGGGAGCAGGAAGGGAATGCAGGACGCACCATAATCAAGCCGCGCGGGGTCGACCGCATCGACGTGCCCGCCCTCACCGACGGCGAGCGCGAGCGCGAGGGTCGTATCGCCCTGCCCGCAGCCGAGCTCGAGGACGCGCGCGCCGGCGCGAATGGGATAGTGCGCGACGAGGTCGAGGCGGTATTGCGGTTGCGCGACGCTGGAGCTGGGGCCGTAGCCGGAGAGGCGCGCGAGGGTCTCTGCGGGTGTGGGCGTCGGCTTGGCTTCCTGCGTCTGACTTTGAGGAGTGGACATTGTTGGTGGGAAGCGCACGGCGACGAGGCGGCTTAAATAGCGGATTCCGAGTCATGTGGATCCGCACGGAGCCGTCGACGCTTAGGCTCCTCGATTCGCGGGGAGTAACCCTAACGCGGAGGAGTTAGGTGTTTGAGCAATCCAGATACAGCAGTACTTGTGCGAGCTGTATTCTGCTGCCAGACTGTGGAGACTTGGTTTTAGCGGAAAATTCCATATGTACTTGGTGGAATTCGAAGGGGTCTCGACGCACCTGTCCAATTCCAGCCTTGCCTCCTCTCCCAGTCCTGAGTTGACTATCGCATCGTCGAGGCCACGGTTCTTGCATTTGCAGTGAGTCATCTCGGGCGCAGGTGGATAAAGCTAAGCGAGCTGACGTGATCGATGCGCCTATCGGGCCGCCCCGGCGCTATCCAGCATCGCATCCGAACACGATGCATAATCAACCGCAGGTAATTTGTACGTGGTCTCCTTCTGAGGGCTGTCCCATTGAGTTGCTCTCACCTTCACAATTTCAAAGTAAGTTTTTTTTTTTGCCTTCATCCCCGTTTCTGCTACATTTCGCACTTCCCAACGGTTCTGACTCAGAGTTCAGAGAACGTCCAGTTTTCCTCCCGACCGCCAAGACTCGCAGGACATGATCAAGTTACTTTCAAGACTAGCACCGACCCGGTGGCGTATGGTCCGCGTCCGCCTGCCTTTGCATGGGAAATCCCCGTTCGATTCGGGGCTGGGTCAATTGTGTATTCCGTTCAATCTGCTCACCTCTATCTCAGCCACATCTCCCAAAATTAATTAATCGGACAAGGTAACGTCTTGTATCGTCACCATGTATTACTATCAATATCTAAGCATCGCTTGACCAAACGTCGGGCGACAGTTAATTTTCCAAACGGAGCTGGTGACCGAATGCGGTCTCGCTCTCGATCAAAGCTCTTTTGTGTGATCATTGTGTGATCGGTATGTTGAAACCCCTCTACCCCCCAGCACCTAAAAAAGGCATTGTACTGCCGATCCTGGATCCAAGGCACCAACCAACATGCACGCTTTCTACTCTGTCTCACCCCGATCGACGCTTCAGTCAATTCAAAGTGGCCACCAGTGCATTTGTTCTCAATTGATCGGTCGCCCTTGCATCTGAATAAAGCAAGAAAGGGTCGATATTATAATGAATCCGACACTTTGAGACCGATCATCGATCGAACCTCGTCCGTATGAGGAGAGAACAAGACGGCGAGGCTCCGGCCAAAGATATAAAAGTCCCCCCACACTTCATCTCATCCCTCAGTTTCTCCCTCGATAAACTCTCTTCACTCGCACTCCTCATCCTCTTTAACCATGGACGCTTTCACCAAGACCGTACCCACCAAATCCGAGGAGGTCGTCCTCCCTCCCACCAACGAAGACGGCGGCACCGGCTCCAGCGGGAGCTGCGTCGTCTGCAAGGAGGACACCACCCTCCCACCCATGAACGAGGACGGCGGGACGGGGTCCAGCGGCAGCTGTGTCATCGCTTGAGCGGCCCCGCTCAATAACAACCCTTCGACCATTGTGCGTCTTTTTTGTCCGGTTTATTCTCATATTCTCGCTGACCCCGCTTCCAGCGTTCTCATTATTATTATCATTTTCTTCTGTGTGGCGGAGATATTTGGCGGAGGAGACTTTTGATGCGACGCCATCCACGAGCATCTGGACCTGGGCTTTACTACCTGATACTAGTTTGGTGTATCTGAAGGCGGAGAATTCGTGAAATAGTGATTTGGTGTTACGAGTCAATCCTGCCTTCATGTGACGAGCGTCGTAACCTGCTTCATGCCAAGCTCACTGTAAAATATCCGCCCCTTCGACTTGAATTAATAGTTTAGCAAACCGGGTGACGGGTACACAAGTATACAGGAGGACCCCCGTTTATACCTTTGGAGGTCGTATCCCTGGTTCGGACAAAATTTTGCGAAAATTTCGGTCCCAAAAAACCCCAAAGTGACCGCTTTGTGAAAAGAACGATTTTGCACTCCTCAAAAAGCGTGGGAAAAATAAATTAGTTCGGACAAACGTCCTGGGGAGGGTGATTTTCTGGATACGACCTCCAAAGGTATAAACGGGGGTCCTTATACAGGTACACATCAAATTCCCCAATTGTTTCCGCGTATTCCCCCTAGAACAACCAGAGCATGTCGAAGAGAAGTTCGGCGACCTGTACACAGTCCAAAACGTCGGCGAGAGGTCCCACGCCTGAAAGAATGGTGGCGACATATGAAAAGGTGCCGCCTGAGGAGCTCGACGCGACGCTGATGGTGATGTTGTTGCTTCTGGCGACGAGGGCGTCCACCGGGATGGCGTAGGTGTACAGGATTTCCTGCCCCGGCGTTTGTATACTTGCATCTTAAAAATAAATGCGACCACTGACGTTTCCGGGCCAAATCCTCCGTCTAACCGACTATCGCGTCGTCGAAGACATAGTTCTCGCTTTGCATTTGCATTCTCGGGCGCAGGTGGATCAGGTGGATCAAACACCCACCCGGAAACTCCCGGCGAACTGAACCTAATAACCGAGGGAGCGCGATTATTGATCCACAGGTAAAGTGCCCAATACCCCACCTGTACGTTCCCCCCCTCTGAGCGCTGTTCTGACCTCACAATTTTAAAGTTGAATTTTTTCGCCTCAATCTCCGTCTGCACTACATTTTGCAGAGAATGTTTCATTTTTCTTGTGACCGCCAAGACTCACACGACATCAAGGGATCTTCAAGATCAGCACCGACCCGGTAGCGGATGGTCCGCGTCTGCGTCTGATGGGTATATAAGCAGTCTGCAGCAGAATACACCTGTTCGATTCAGGTCTGGGTCACTTGGAGTATACCGACTCTGGAATTTTTGATCAGCGAATCCGGTGTAGGAAGCTGAATACAAGTTCCAGGTGCGATGATCCGTGAGCGCTGTGCTTCCAAGAATCTAAATCTTCTCAGGTGTTTACTGTGCGCGCTGAGGCTAGGTATATTCCGCATCTGCTTGCCTTCAGGAGGTTTTCTGTTATGGATGCAGAAATAGCCCGTTCGATTCGGACTCGGGTCATGTGGAATTGGCTGGTGCCTTTTGATTTTCGTCTCAACCACATTCCGTCGGTTATACTGAGGATGCCCAGTGTACCAAGTTACTTTCAAGCCTTTCATCGACCCGGTAGCGGATGGTTGGCATCTCCGCATGATAAAAATTGTGGGTGTAGAATGCAGCAGAGTAAGCCCGTTCGATTCGGGGCAAGCCATAAAAATTGAAGGCGGGCTGTTTTATACATCTGTCCCAGAGTCATTCCAATTTCCAAGGCCCTTCGGACAACGCACTGATCATTTGAACCGCAGGAAACCAAGGCAGTTTCAACTCTAACACCGACCGGGTGGCAGATGGTCCGCGTCTGCTCGCATTTGCATTTGTGGTTTAGGCTCATATTTGGGATGTAGGACACCCCGTTCGATTCGGGGCTAGGTCTTACATTGGCGGGCAATCTTCCTGTTTCTGCACATATCCCCGCGTTACTCCTACAGCGGAGGCCTGGAAGTTCTTCCCTTCAAGCTTGTATATTCAGCCTCCATTTCCTTGCCAGGAATTTCACTGATTTCGCCATATCCACCCAGTGGCCTTCACCTAGAGCTTCTAGTGAGTGCATCATGCGAGTCTGCAACAAGACATGTTGCAGGCACTTTTAAGTGGAACTGCATTGCAAAGGATCCGATCCGGCCTAAGTGGAGGGTTCGGAATCCGAACACTCCGAGGCTTGCGTGAAATCAAGTGTGGTGATTGCTGGGAAGAATTGACTTATGAGTCGGGTGGGTACTTGCAATCTAGGTCTCTTTGTAAAACACGTGAATTAAAAGATAATACTGTATATACCGAACACTGGACACCATAAATACTAAGACAGGATCGAAACAAAAAGAAAGGAAGGCAAGATAGTAAACAAACATGAGGGAAAAGTGAACGACAATAACTAAGTGGCGCAATATACTTGACACCATAACATGAACAGTAGACAAAAAATTGAAATAACAAGGGACGAGTAAGGAGACACAGGATACCATAAATAGGGAAACAAAGGAAGGCAAGAGATGGGGTGAAGCCAAATTAGCAACTAAGTAGGAGTATCTACTTGATGCCATCACATAAACATTAAGTAAAATGTTGAAAAGAGAAGGTAAGGTGAGAGTAAAGGAACATATAGTTATACAATGCTCTGAATCAACTCAGACTGCAACAAGCTCTTTCTTTTTACCCAGACCTGTATCTCCAATTTCTTCAACCAGTCTTTCAGCTGTCATTTCAAGGGCTGCACTAGGTGCATGGATTTCTGGGAGAAGTGCCAAGCTCCTGGTATGTTCTTCCAGTACATCTCCTGCAATGCTAAGAAGTTCTTTATCAATGAGGGCAACTTTTTTCGCTTGAGATGACCGTTCAAAAAGAGGTCTTGCAGTTCTCCAAAAGTCTGCTGTCTTCAAAAGGTCCCCATTTTCCTTTGAGATGTATCCAAGTTGAAGCATACACTCTGCTCGGCTTCGGTGGACATCCATCTGTGTGAATCCCTCCAAGGCAGTAGTCAGAAGGCTGACTGCTGTATCCTGGTCACCGTCAGCTTGGAAAGAATCCCCCAAAAATTGAAGAGCCTTGTGAAGATCTAGCTTCTGGTTTGACTTCGAGGCATACACAAGATATATTATTGTCCACGAAGATGGCCAATTTGTGGAATCCCAGAGGCTTCTATCACCAAGTTGTTCCAGACAACAGTTTACTAAGTCAGACTGATTCCCATAGAAGAATGACAGACACTTGTGGAAAAGGGATTTTGCAGGTAGTAGATTTCTTTCTCTCAGGTAAAGGGACCCCATTGTAGTATCACAGACCATTTCATAGACCAAGTTTTCAATGCGATTGAATACTGATTTTGCTGTACCAATGTTATTTCGTACATCCTCCATTGGTACACCAAGCTGCACCTCAAGTTCTGCAATATTGAGCAATGCCACAGCATGCTTGGCTAGGCCCGATTCAATCGGAGATCTATGAAGTATTTTTGTCCGAATACTTTTGGCCTCCACATATTCTGACTTGAATTTGTGGGTTTCTGCTTGAGTAGTCATAATGTCAGAGTCCCAGGTACCACCAGACATCCCACAGTGAGCTATAAGAACCATTGCCCTGTCACAGAGAGAGGCTGCATATTTGTAGTTCCCATGTGAATGCGAACACATTGCCTCAATATGTAGTGCATGGGCTTCATTAAATAAATCTGCAGAAATCTTGGCTAGCCTCCGTGCTTCAGATGCATACATTTGGCATGCAGCTGGATCACCCATCCCCATATTTAAATATGCAAGATATAGTGATGCATGACACTGTCTTCTGGTGTTACCAGTTGAAAGCGCCAACGAGAGTCCAGTCTGAAAGTAATTTGAAGCTGTAGAAATATCATTGTTGTGGCGTTGACAATAGTTTCCTAACACAAAGTAGAATTTACCTATTGGACCTGTTTTAACTCATGAAGAAGGAATATGGCTTGAGTACTTACATTTGATATCTGATTCATTACAGTGAGGCAACTGTTTTATTGCTTTGTCGACCAGTGCTTCTGGATTGAGCACTGGATAATGTTCCCAAGAACTGAAGATCTCTGTGATCAACAAGACCTCCAGGTCACTTGGGAGAGGTTGAATAAGAGTAATGTGGTCCATCAAAGGAGTCCGGCCATGTCCATTAAGTCTACCGAAAGCATTGAGATATAGGATGCAATAGATTGTATCAAATGCTGCAGGATTCTGGTGCTGGAGCCTGTTGAGAAGTAGACTGTGGATATTTGAGAAATTTGAGGCAATTTTAAGGGTCATCTCAGAAGCTGAGACAGTTCCCAAATATTTGTATCTAAATTCAAAAAGCTGATGGAAGTAATTGAGAAGGGCCTGAACCAGGTAATCCATAGGGGGATAAGATCTTGCCATGTATTCCCGGATAGGTACCAAGACCTTGAACCGTTTCTGGTCATCACTATAGGCCAGTGAAGTGGACAATAAGGCTGATTTACAACTGAGGATGTCTTTGATGGGAAGCCTGCTTTGTCCCAGTTCTGCATCTGAGAGGCCGTCAGGGAGCATTGAGAGGAGGCTCAATAGATCCCGGCAATGAGGCACAGATGTGATTCGAGGGCTTGATAGAGACGATAAAATGGATAGATTGAGATTTGACTGCCTGTCATAGCCATCTGAGATCACTGAGGTTTTTTTCTTTCTCCCAACGGGCCAAGACATTGGAGCAACCCTCAGATTCAACCAAGTGGGCCATGAGATCAATTGCAAGTGGCATATTGTCAGTCAGGAGGAGGACTTTGTTAATATCATCACTGTCATGAACATCATCTGCAATGTCAATGAAAGTCTGCCGGGCAGCATCCGGTGTCAAGGGTTTCAGTACTGGAAGGAAAGGCCGAGTCCAGCGCACTGAGGCTGGTCTTTCTGTTCCTCGCATTGTGATCTAGTATAGTGTCAGTTATACTACTTCAGTGAGAATATTAGCACTTGCAATCAGCCCAAGGTGTTCTACATCTGTAAGCAGAGACAAAAATTCTTCAATGTCTCGACGGATTTCTGTCGGCTCCCAGAGTGTCTCCAGGTTATCTAGGATCAGGAGGCAAGCCGGATTGGTGACAAAATGATGCAAAACCACGTTGGCCAGATTTTTCTTTGGCTTCAGTCCCAAGTGGGCCCCAATGAGAGTAACTAGTTCATCCTTACTTGAACTTGATACAGTGTCACAAGCAATGAAGAAACGATGGTGTCCATATTTCCCAGTGACTGTTGGATGATGCAAAATAACTCTTGAGAGACTTGTCTTTCCCATTCCGCCTGCACCTAAAATTGCTATCCTAGGTGTCTCCTGCATGAACAGTTTGAGAATGTCTGCGATTTCAGATTCTCGGCCATGGAAGATTTTTGGTTCAGCCGGGAGCATGGAAATTGAGGTTGAGCTTGATCAGAATAGAATCAGATTCACATTTATTAATCTTAGTTTGGACCATACCTGTTGTAAGAGCTAGAAATGGTCCTATTGGTCTGTGTGGAATTTACTTCTCGCTCGACTCGGAATGGAAGGACTACATACCACTGATCTTTCATCTGAAGTGGTCCCATCAGAAAAGGTAGAAATCAACTCCAGAACTTCTTGGTGTCTGGCTTCAGCAAATCTCTGCATATCCCCAATCTCATTGAGGAAATTCATCTTATGAACCTGTGTTATTTTTGTTGTTTCAGTCCTGGCATGGACTGTACACCAAACCACTTCACCTTGAAAAGATCCAGTGCTTCTTGCAAACCCATGTTACAATCCTTCAACAGTTTGCCCATTTCTCCCTGACGGAAAAAGCGCCTGATCTTGCTTTTGTCCTGTTGGGCCTCCACAAATGTATGGATCTTGAAGAGGGTCCTGAGGAAATAAAAAGTAATAACAAAATGATTTTGTACTGGAAGAGACATACTCTGTGACTTTTCCGAGATGATTCAGCATGCTTGGTGACAAATCTGGACCAGTCTCCGGCTTCATATGGAGAGAAACAACGGCACAGAGCAACCCGTAGGTTTGCTCCAACAATTGGGTGCAATCAATCTTGTTTTGTTTGACGTTCTGGCAAAAGTGAGACAGATTTTATGATCTATAGTAGGAATGTACCTGCACAGCAGTTAGCAGAGACTTGGCAGTGTTGGAGATAGGCTCCAAGAGTGGACTCTTGAAGGTCTTAGCAAGGACCTCCAAGGTATCCACTGCTATAGTGAAACATTTTAGAATGTTGTTTAATCGGATTTCGGTCGCAATGGG